GGTTAGCCTGGTGGTGGGTATTGAGGAGGGCACATTCTGCATGGAGCACTGGGTGTTATGCACAAACAATGAATCATGGAACACTTCATCTAAAACTAATGATGTAATGTATGGGGATTATCATAAGAATAAAAAAAAATTTATTAAATAAAAAAAAATTACTGATGACATTTAAGTACTCCATAGAGGTCTCCAGGAAGCAGCCAACCTCAAACTTGTCAATCTATAAACCTGGGAAATGCAAACATTAAGACAGTCTGGTAAAACAGAAGGGAGGGGAGGTATTATAAGGTCTGCAGCCAAAAGAAGGAAAGCAATTCTTGGAGAATTTATAAAAAAAAGGGAAGTTGACAGTAAGAATTTTTTATTGTGTCCAGGATTGCCCAAGAAAAAGGAGCCTCAGATTTGGGGCATGGATAATTTATTTGGATTAATAGTGCCCTATTTTGAAAGGGCCCAACTGATCCTGCTGCTGTAGTTTAATAATAATATTCCATTAAGATCATCAGACTCTCTTTGCCCAGATTCTATGCCCACCAATTTATTAACTGACTTCTTAGTACTCTGATATTGGGAATAGGGGCCCCTCACACAGACACAAGGCTCCATTCAGTGTGGCATGTATAATAGTTTAGATAATACATAAATTGTCATCTAGATTATGAATCATGCTCTTATGAATCACAGGATCTCAACATTGAGGATACTTCAAAGACATTTAATTAACCATCCATCTGGTGCTGAAATTTCCCCTATAACGTAGCTGGGGAGGAGTCATTCATTTTTCCTTAAGCATCTCAAATAACAGGAAACTCATTACCTCTTCAGTTCTCTGAACACCTGTGTTAGAAAATTCTGCTTTATATTGAACAAAAATGCGTTACTACTTTAGAGCCCTCAGTCTTAGGTTGACCTCTTGGGACCATATACAAAACAAACTAAACCTCAAAAACAAAAAACAAAAAACAAAAAACAACCCAACACCCAAACATAGATAAGCTCATGTTCTGGACAAACCTCTTTTCCATGGCCAAATTCCCTAAATCCTTTAACACTTCCTAATATAAGATGGTTTCAAATCATTACATCATCCTGGTTACCCTCCCAAGGACAGGCTTTCGTTTCTCTTTTAAGGTGTGGTCATGGGCATGGTCGAGTGTTTTTGTAAAATTTGCAAAAGTAAGATATTTTTATCACACATGGTTGAGATGATGGCCTCTTTCTTCTCCTCCTTCCCCTCTGTCATACTTCCTCTCATGTCAAGCCACACTGGAATGGCCATGAGCATTTCTGGATAGAGCTAAGGGGAAGTTGTGTTGGTGGTATATTTAGTTTGAGTTTAGGAGAATATATATCATGTGGTTCACTGATACTTTCATATATAGTTAACTGATTGCTAGCTGTCATAGTGTAGGAATGGCTTCCAGGAATACCCTTACCACCCGCTGTGCTAATTTCACGGAGCATTGTGACACTAAGTTGCAGGTATGTTAGAAAGCTAATGAAAGTATTATATTTATGAGCTTTGTGATATTGAAGAGATTTATCAGCTTTTTAAAATACAAAATGTGGGCGCCTGGGTGGCTCAGATGGTTAAGCATCTGCCTTCGGCTCAGGTCATGATCCCAGGGTCCTGAGATCAAGCCCTATATGGGGCTCTCTGCTCCTTGGGAGCCTGCTTCTCCCTCTGCCTCTCTCTCTCTCTGTCTCTCATGAATAAATAAATAAATAAATCTAAAAAATAAATAAATAAATAAAATAAAATAAAATACAAAATGTGCTATGCATTGAATTATACCCTTACAATGAGGAAATTTTATGGTATGTAAAGTATACCTCAATAAAGCTGTTAAAAATGTGCTATGATTTCTTTTCTTATTTTAAATATTCACTTTTGTAATAAAGTGAGCCTGGGTGGCTCAATTGGTTAAGTGTCTACCTTTGGCGCAGGTCATGATCCCTGGGATTGAGTCCCACATCAGGGTCCCTGCTCAGCGGGAGTCTGCTCTGCCTCTCCCCACTGGTTGTGCTCTTGCTTACTCTCTCTCTCAAATAAATAAAATCTTAAAAATAGGGTGAAATGTTGAAAGAATCCCCTTTGAGACCGGGAATTAGATAAGGAGATCACTATTATTATCTTTGCTCAACATTGTATCGGAAGTTCTAGTGAGTGCAGCAAGCGAAAAAAAAAAAAGAAAGAAAGAAAGAAAGGAAAAAGAACTAAAAGATATAAGAATCAGGAAGGTAGACATAAAACTGTAATAACTGTAATACCAAAAGTATGACTTAGTTTATAAAAATCCAAAACATTAAATACAAAATTATTATTAGAATTAATAAATAAGTTTAGCAACCTTGCTGGATATAAAAATCAATATGTAAAAATAAGTTGCCCTTTTATGTAATAGCCACAATTAAAAATTAAAAAGGTATAATTTACAATCCTATAAAAAATATAAAGTACTGAGCAACAAATGTAACAAAGGAGGTGCAAGGAGAAGTTGAATCCAAAACTTACATAAAAGTTCAAAAGGTCAAGAATAGCCAAAACATTCTTAAAGAACAAGGTGGGGAAACTTGCCCTGTCATATGTCAAGATTTATTATAAAACCATAGGAATTGGGGCGCCTGGGTGGCTCAGTCGTTAAGTGTCTGCCTTCGGCTCAGGTCATGATCCCAGGGTCCTGGGAATGAGCCCCCATTGGACTCCCTGCTCAGCGGGAAGCCTGCTTCTCCCTCTCCCACTCCCCCTGCTTGTGTTCCCTCTTTCGCTATCTCTTTCTGTCAAATAAATAAAATCTTTAAAAAAAAAAACAACATAGGAATTCAGACTGTGGCATGGGGTGAGCTGAATAGAGTTCAAGAATAAACCCACCTGTATATAGAACTGACACTTTAGATCAGCGAAGAAAGTGTACTTTTCAAAAATGGTGCTGGCACAATTAGTTTTCCATATGGAAAAATAGTAAATTGGGCCCCTACCTCACACCATACTTAAAAACATCAACTCCAGATAAGAGTCAATGTGAGAGTCAAATGTGAGAGGCAAAAATATAAAACTTAGAAGAAAATGTAAAAGAATATCTTGATCTCTGGGTATTAAAGGATTTCTAAAAGAAGACACAAAAAATGTATAAATTACAAAAGAAAAAACTCATAAATCAGAATACATGAAAATTAAGAACTTTGTTTATCAGGAAACATTGTTGAGAGGATGATAACACAGCCATAAATGTAACCAATCAAGGATTAATATCAGATTCTAAAGAGAACTCAACTCTATAAACATAGAAAAATAAAACAATAGAAATATAGGTCAAAAGCTAAAAGTCACTTCTCAAAACAGAAAATTCAAAGGGTCAATGGTTGAGTTAAAAAATGCTCAACCTCTGGTGCCTGGGTGGCTCAGTGGGTTAAGCATCTGCCTTCGGCTTAGGTCATGATCCCAGGGTCCTGGAATTGAGCCCCTCATCGGGTTCCTTGCTCAGTGGGGAGCCTGCTTCTCCCTCTACCTGCAGCTCCCCCTGCTTGTGTTCCCTCTCTCTCGCTCTCTGTCAAATAAATAAATAAATAAATAAATAAATAAATAAATAAATAAATAAAATCTTATATTAAGAAAAAAGATGCTCAACCTCATTAGTAATCAGGGAAATGAAAATTAAAATCACAACAAAGTATTTTATACTCACTGGAATCATAAAAATAAAAATGTCTAATAAGAAATACCAAGTGTTGGTAAGCACGTGGAGGAAGTGGAATGTTTATCCATGGCTCACTGGATTATACATTTATGTGAGCACTTTGGAAAAAGGTTTGGCATTATGTAGTAAGGTTGAACATGTGCAAATCCCAGGACCCAGGAGTTTCACTCCAGGGTATATACTCTAGAGTAACTGTAGCATATATACATCATTTTATCAACATTATTCTGTCATCATCCAACACAATATTGAGTGAAAGAAGCAAATCCCAGGAGCGTATATACATACAAATAACTAGGTTCCATTTATTAAAAAGTTCAAAAACAGGAAAGATGAAACAATACAGTATATTGTTTAGGGATGCATACAGTTAGTAAACCAATGAAGAAAAACAAGGCAATAATTACCCCAAATTTTAAGGTAGTGGTTACATCTGATGGGGAAGGGAGAGAGGAATAAGGGAGTTGTAATCAGAGAGGGACATACAGAGGGTTTTAAGATGCTGGAAATAAATATTCTGTTTTTTTTAACCTGGGTAGTGAGTACATAAATAATCATTCCTTAAAATTATTCTTTTACATACATATATATGTTTCATGCATGCTTTTGTGTTTGATATATTTCACCATTTTAGAAAAGGAAAAAAAAATCAGTGCCCAGAACTGAACACACAACTCCAGTTAATCCATACTAGAAAACCATCACCTCTCTCATTTTGAGTATTCTCTCTGTTGTTTTTTTTTTTTAAGATTATTTATTTTGAGAGAGAGAGAGAATGCTCATGGGCTCACACTCACAGGGGGAGGGGCAGAGGGAGAGAGAATCCTCAAGCAGACTCCCCGCTGAGTGTGGAGCCTAAGGCAGGCTCGATCCCAGGACCCCGAGATCACGACCTGAGCCGAAATCAAGAGTTGGACGCTTAACTGACGGAGCCACCCAGGTGCCGCCCTGTCTCTGTTTTTTTGAACTGAGGTGTACTTTTATATCTCCTAAATTTTCTCTTATTTATTTAGCCATTTTTTCCCCTTGTCCTCCCAGCCAGTCAAGCTCTCCCCAGAGCCAGATCATCCTCCAGGAGAACATAGAGAGCGACATTTCTGAGCTAGCCAGGCTGAGGTCCCAGTCGCAGTGGGCAGCTGCGGCAACTCTTCCGAAAGCCCACCTGCAAGCTTAACGTGCTTGCTTCCTGCCCTGCTTCTCCTGAGGTCATCTGTTTATAGCCCTAGCCTTTAGTGAGCAACCGTAGCAAATGTCTTATCAAGGCAAGCAATGCCTCACATTAGGTCATGTTGATAAGATGATGAAAGAATATTCTCACTCAAGAAGATTGCTATTTCCTGAAGGGATAAAACCCCACCAGGGAAAACCCCTGTGGTTGTCATAGGTAGGGCTGGTCTCCTCAAGCTGATAACATAGTTCCGACCAGAGGAGGAAGGCTGAATGCACTTACTTCATTGCTTGAAGCTTTCTGGGTAATTGTGCATCTTTCATATCTTAAAGACTCACATACTCTGAGCTAGACAGAGGTCCCAACCCTGAAGAACCTCTCCAGAATCCAGGTTGCTGAATCTTCCCTGCTGCCTAGAGAGAATCCAAACCACCTTTTGGCAATGGGCAACTGGGTGGTTAACCACTGGTTCTCAGTTTTGTTTCTGGTAAGTAATGTTTCACTATCTATTAATTACTCCTAACAGAGTAAGGACAGATTATGTTTGTTAATATTTCTTTTTTAAAAGATTTTATTTATTTATTTGACAGCGAGAGAGCACCAGTGGGATGCAGGGTAGAGGGAGAAGGAAACTCCCTGCTGAGCGGAGAGCCGGATGCGGGGCTCCATCCTGGGACTCCGGGGTCATGACCTGTGCTGAAGGCAGATGCTTAACTGACTGAGCCACCCAGACACCCTGTTTGTTAATATTTCTAAAGTTATTTGAAATGGAACTATTCCATGCCAAGATTGGGCCCATTGAGGCCAGTTATCAGTTAAAAAGCCCAACTCTAAGATTACACGTGTTTTATAAAATCTTCTGTGTATGATGTATTTCACCATTTTAGAAAAGGGGAAAAAAATCCAACTCCAGAAATTGGTTGATAAAGAGACAAATGATATAAACCACAAGTATTTGGAATTTCAATGTTTCCTTTTCCATCTTTTTTCTCTTCCATCTCACTTCTAACTACTGCCATGCAGCCTTCATTTCTCTTCATCCTTTCTGTACCACCAAAGGCAAGATTTCATAAAATCATCGAATGTCTGAGATAGAAATACTCCTGGAGATCATGGCCCAGTGCTGTCCATTTTAGAAATGTAATGTGAGCTACATATGTAATTAAAAATTTTTCTAGCACTTACATTGAAAAAGGTAAGAAGAAATAGGTGATATTAATGTCTAGTAATTTATTTAGTCTAACCCAATATATCAGTAATGTTATCCTTTTGGGGCGCCTGGATGGCTCAGTCTGTTAAGCATCTGCCTACGGCTCAGGTCATGATCCCGGGGTCCTGGGATGGAGCCCCACATCGGGCTCCTTGCTCAGTGGGGAGCCTGCTTCTCCCTCTCCCTCTGCCTGCTGCTCCCCCTGCTTGTGCGCTCTCTCTCTCTCTGACAAACAAATAAATAAAAAATCTTTAAAAAATGTTATCCTTTCAACATGTAATCAATATTGAAAATATTAACAAGATGAGGGTGGGCAGTGCTCTTTTTCTAAAACTAATATGCCTTACATGTTTGGCTTATGCACTTTGCTGTAATTCACTGTGTATTTGGGTGTGATGTGGTTTACTTTTCTACCATATTTGTAATTTTATGTGTTCCAACTCCTTTGTGTGAATTCACGTATTATAGCAAAATACAAGGGAAATGGGACTAATTTGCAATGTCATATGGGAAATCTTTTAATAAATATATGTAAATAAAATACAAAATATTTGTCCCCATCTCCTCCCCCAGAGCAACGGCAAGATATATTTTGTTAGATATTTAATTTTTAATGTTTTCTATAATTTAAAAATGTATAGCTTCCCATAATTATTATTTTCTTAACCATGATACTACAGCTTTCCTAATTAGTTTTTTTTAAAGATTTTATTTATTTATTTGACAGAGAGAGAGAGAGCACAAGCAGGGGAAGCAGCAAAGGGAGTGGGAGAAGCAGGCTACCCCAATGAGCAGGGAGCCCGACTTGGGACTTGATCCCAGGACCCTGGGATCATGACCTGAGCCGAAGGCAGATGCTTGACCGACTGAGCCACCCAGGTGCCCCAATTTTCCTAATTAGTTTTATCTTAAAATACTGAATGTCCTGACCTTTTATAGATGTTTTTAATTTGTTTTAAGTAATTTTAGTCTTTTTTGATGTTCAATTAGCCAATATACAATAAATTATGCTTGACATAGAGTTTCCAATAAATTTTCCAGTCAAAAAAATATTTAAAAAAAGACAAAAGAAAATAATAATGAGATCATTTTTTTTTAAGATTTTATTTATTTATTTGAGAGAGAGAATGAGAGACAGAGAGCATGAGAGGGAGGAGGGTCAGAGGGCGAAGCAGACTCCCTGCCGAGCAGGGAGCCCGATGCGGGACTCGATCCCAGGACTCCAGGATCATGACCTGAGCCGAAGGCAGTCGCTTAACCAACTGAGCCACCCAGGCGTCCCAATAATGAGATAATTTAATGTCTTTTATTTTTACTAAGTTTTTGAAACCCGATATGTATTTTGTACTTACAGCATATCTAAATTAAGACTAGCCACATTCCCAGTGATCGCAGGTGGGTCGTGGCTAATGGCATTGCCTAGTGCAGCTACAAACCAGCGCCTTTATTTTTTACAAGGGAAAATAAGACCCATTTGTCACACAGTGAATGGATGCAGAGCCATCACTCAAACCCAACTTCCCAGTGTTCAGGCCAGAAATTGTTTACTGTGCACACCACGTATGCACAACCCCTTTCTCCTCACACACACACACACACACACACACACACACACATCCCCACTCTTTCTTCCATTTCTGGGCCACCCCAGAGCTTGGAACTCCCTTTGTCCTTTCTCACATTCCTAGATCTTCATGTCATCACCCCTTCTGGGGTCATCTCTTTTCTTCCACTTTTTCCTTTCAGTCCCCTAGGACGACCCAGGTGCTCGAGGGAAAAAGGCGTGAGGAGCAATCATACTTCCCTGGAGGGTTGTTTGTTTTGCATTTAACAAAAGGCCAAGTGCTTATTTTGGCAGGTTACCCTATGCTTTATATTTTTGACGCTCAATGCTGTATATTTAATTTCTTTTGCACTAGTTTAGGAGACAGGGAACCTGGGAATGAGTTTCACTTCTGCTGTTAATTGAGGGATCTTGATCAGATTATTTATTTTCTCTGGACTTCACGTCACCTGCGTGTGTGTGTGTGAGATAAATTAAATAACTAGATTAGATACAAATATAAGCCTGCTTCTAGTTCTAAAATCCTCTGCATTTTGTATCCCTCTCTTAGTTTTTGCTCAGACAGTTCATCACCCATTATGGTGACTCACATTTAACTATGTAGCTTTGAATTTCCACCCCCTACCAATCCTGCTGGCAGGCTCAGACTTCTTGCTATCTCTGACATATACTCTAATACACTGTTTTTTTTTTTTTTAAGATTTTATTTATTTGAGAGAGAGAGAGAAAGAAAGAGAGAGAGCATGAGCAGGGGGAAGCGGAGGGACAGAGGGAGAGGGAGAAGCAGACTCCCCGCAGAGCAAAAAGCCTGACCTGGGGCTCGATCCCAGGACTCTGGGATCACGACCTGAGCCGAAGGCAGAGGCTCAACCGACTGAGCCACGCACGCGCCCCGCACTGTTTTTTTTAAAAGGACTTATTTATTTGTGCGGGAGAGCATGCAGGGAGGCAGGGGAGAGGGAGAGGGAGAGAGAGAGAGAGAAACTCTAACAGACTCCAGGCTGAGCAGGAAGCTGGTCTCATGGCTCGATCTCATGACTCCGAAATCGCGACCTGAGCCAAAACCAAGAGTCAGCCCTTAACCGACTGCATCACCCGGCACTATTTTTTTAAAATAAAAAATAAATTATTCAGAAAACATTTTTACTCCTCCTCTTGCCAGGTCTTCTACTTCACTTTCCACCCATAATGTAGGAAATGATAGTGAGGGTGGGAAATGGAATTCCTTACTCCCAGATGTCACTCTATTCACAAAGACAAAGAACTCTTGGATCCTAAAATAGTTCTGCTCTCTCTAAAGAAACTTCTCTGTCTTCTGAACTCTTGAGGTATCTGTGGTTCTCACCTCTCTTTTTCTGTTAGGATCAAAGAATCTCTGAAAGACACTCAAGTCCAGAAATGGTGTCTGAGCAAAGGATGCAGGAAGAAATGGACTAGGGAAGCCTGGTAATAACCCAAATTGCTCCTACTATGTACCTATAATGTACCAACCATTGTATTAATCACTCTGCATGTGTTATTTCATGTAAGCCTCACAGTATTGCTGTGAGGGTAGATAGCATTATTCTCTTCACTTTATAGAAGACTCCAAGGCTTAGAGAAGTTAAATCACATGTTGTCTAAGATTACAGAGTTAGAAAGTGGTGAGGCTAGAAGTTGAACCCAAGGAGTTTGACTCCAATATCACTTGAAATAACTATGCTATGCTGCTGGAGGTATGTGAGTGGTCCATATCTAGGGAATCTGAATGGGCCATGTCCTAAGCTAAAGGCTCTCTACTTGTGGGGCTGAGATGGTTCTGATCCATCCTGGGGCCAACAATATATATTAAGGGCATCCCAGTGCCCTAGAGTCCTGCTCCGTTATAAACGAGCACCTCAAAGCTTGGGCTAGAACTGCATTGGTTGGTCTCCAAGGCAATGCGGCAGTGGGTTCCAAGTTCCCCCTTTGCCTACAGAGACAGAGCCTGGGATAGACAAAAGCAGTCTTAAGAGCTCAAATGAGTCCAGGACAATGACAGGTTAATTTGAAAAGAGACTCACAATCTAAAAACAGGAAAATGTGTGTCAGGGAGTAATTAATTAAATAAATTTAATAAATTTAATTAATTTAATTAAATTTAATTAATTAAATAAATTTAATTAATAATTAAAGAGGCAGGCCCATCTGGAATGGTTTAGTCCTTTTCAAATGGGTATTGTTATAGATTTTATTTTTATTTTTTTATAGATTTTATTTTTTTATTTATTCTTTGTTTCTTTAGAAATCCATTTATTCACTTATTGCCATCTTTTGGTTGCAATAGTTCGAATGCTACCAGTCCAGAAGTTGGCAAATGTTTTCTGTAAAGGGCTAGGTAGTACATATTTTAGGCTTTGCAGACCCTATGGTCTCTGTCACAGCTACTCACTGCCTCCATCGAATTATGGAAGCAGCCATAAACAAGATAAGAATAAGTAGGCATGGCTAAGTTCCAATACCACTTTATTTATGGACACTGAGATTAGAATTTCATATAATTGTCACGTCATGAAATATTATTCTTCTTTTAATTTTTCCAACCACTTAAATGTGTGAAAACAGGGGTGCCTGGGTGGCTCAGTTGGTTAGACATCTGCCTTCAGCTTGGGTCATGATCCCAGGGTCCTGGGATTGAGTCCCGCATTGGTCTCCCTGTTTGTTGGGGAGCCTGCTTCTCCCTCTCCCTCTGCCCCCTGCTCCCCCTGCTTGTGCTCTCTGTGTGTCTAATAAATAAATAAAATCTTAAAAAAATAACATGTGAAAACAAACAAAAAAGTAAAAACCATTCTTAATTTGTAGGCTGTACAAAATAAACGGTGAGCTAGATTTGGCCCATGGGCCTTGATTTGTTGACCCTGGTCTAATGAATGCATGTCTTGAAGTGCTAACTCTTTCTGAAAGTAAGTTAGATACTAGAGGGATTGTACTCATTTAAAATGAAAACAGGTAAACACAAAATCGCCAAAATGGTGACACTATTTCCTATCCCTTACCTATTCCTCCCCATACCCAAATTTTACTTGAGTCTTTGCTTGTTTTTTTTTAATTTTTTATTGTTATGTTAATCACCATACATTACATCATTAGTTTTTGATGTAGTGTTCCATGATTCATTGTTTGCGTATAACACCCAGTGCTCCATGCAGAACGTGCCCTCTTTAATACCCATCACCGGGCTAACCCATCCCCCACCCAAAACCCTCAGTTTGTTTCTCAGAGCCCATAGTCTCTCATGGTTCGGTCTCCCCCTCCGATTTCCCCCCCTTCATTCTTCCCCTCCTGCTATCTTCTTCTTCTTCTTTTTTTTTTTTAACATATATTGTATTATTTGTTTCGGAGGTACTTGTTTTTTATTTCCTCCAGGCTACTTGGTTGGGGCTGAATGTTTTCCTCTTTGTGCATGCCTTCCTGTCATATGAGAAAGCCGATAAGTACTACTACACAAGAGAAATCCTGGGGGTGAGTATCACAGTTGTGATATGGAGAATCTCTGTTTGTTGTTGATGTTGTTGTTGTTGTTGTTGTTGTTTGTGACCTTGGTTCCTTTGAGACCCAATGCCCTGATTTCCTCTAGGGTTAGGGTTCCCAGAATAAAATACAGGATACCCAGTTGAATTTTTTTTAGAGATTTTGTTTATTTATTTGAGAGAGAGAGTGAGTGAGAGAGAGCATGAGCTGGGTGAAGAGCAGAGGGAGAGGGAGAAGCCCAGGGAGGAGGGAGCACGAGGGGGGTGGGGAGGCTTGATCCTGGGACCCCAGGATCATGACCTGAGCTGAAGACAGATGCTTAAATGACTGAGCCGCCCAAGAGACCCCCCCCAACCCCACTTAAATTTGAATTCCAGAAAAATCATTTTTTTGGTATATTTTGAATATTGCATGGGACATAGGTATGCTAAAAAAAATTACTCACTTTTTAAAATCTGAAGTTCAAATTTATCTGGGCATCTGGTATTTTTGTTCACTAAATCTGACAGCCCTATCTAGGGCACACTCCCCAGACCCAATGATAAAAACACACAGTAAAGAAAACTATTAAGCAGTCATTTCAAATGACTCAAGGACTCCTATAGGGTGTGAGGGGAAAGCTAACTGGGTAGCACTCCTGCCCCTGCCCCTACTTCAACCAAAGCAGCCTTTACCTGTCTTTTTTAAAGATTTTATTTATTTATTTTTGTGAGAGAGAGAGAGAGTGCGCACGAGTGGGACAGAGGAGCAGAGGGAGAAGCAGGCTCCCTGCTCAGCAGGGAGCCTGACATGGGACTCGATTCCAAGACCCTGAGATCATGACCTGAGCTGAAAGCAGACACTTAACCGACTGAGCCACCCAGGTGCCCCTCAGCCTTTATCAGTCTTATGGACTCCTGCTTATGATTTCCGGAAAGAGTTTGGTTTATAACAAGTAAACAAACAACTTGAAAGCCACTGCTGTGGACTGATCTCACAGAAAAACACCTCTCCATCAAATAAGAGGGATACTTAGAGGGTCTGTGGGGTGAGGGGCGCAGCAGAACTCAAGGCCTGAAGAAAGGCAGGGGTCGGGTGAGAATAACAGGACAGAGAAGGCTGTAGAAGCGGTAGGTAAAGAACAGAAGAGGGAGGGTGGGGGCCGGATAGGGTACGTCAATGTTTAGGTGACCAGAGTTAGAAGCATGGAGGTGAGAATGATTCTCTCACAGGCTCATCAGTCTGGCCACTATCTGATTAGAAAAGCAAATCTAACTGCTAACTCTAGTGAGTTTTTCAGTAGCAGGGAAGGGATTTGGTTAAATCACTTTCATCTTGATGAGATCATTGGCTTTCCACAAAGACCCATCCGATGTACATGTTTAAAGACAGCTTGTCCTTTTAAAAAAATCCTTCTTTTCTCTCTGTAATCAAAGGATCCATGTTGAGATCACAACCAATTTGAATGTTCTGTTCATGGCTTATTTCACCCTGCTGTTTTCCATTTTAAATGTTGGTCCTTGATCCTTCTTTGGAAACTCTAAACTCCAAAGGAAGTGTTAATTTATTTTAAAAATAGCTTTTTAGTAAGAGAATGATGCAATAAATGTGACTTGTTATTAAGAGCTTAATTGCTTTATGACCAAAATGTCAGCAGCAGAAAAATGAATCATGCTGATATCCTGTGGATATTTCATTCACTTCGTTTTTTAAAAACACTTAATGATAAATACTGCTACTTTCCGTGATAGCAAATGATACAGAAGTGTATAAGTAAAAATGTGAAAATTGCCCTCCCATCCATTCCCCAGAGATAACCACTGTTAATAGTCTGTGTGTGTGTTTGTGTAGATGCACTGACTTAAGCTCATGAATGCATCGACATATAGGTTTTGTTTTTGAGGTAGGTACCATTCTTACTCACTTCTTAATTTCCTGTATACAGTAAAATTCGCTCTTTTTTTCTGGTGTATGCACCATTCTATGAATTTGGATAAACACATAAAGTAGCAAAGAGGTTTTTTTGCCATTGTTTTGTTTTGTTTGGGGTTTTTTTTTGAGTTTTGTTTTGTTTTCACCAAAAAAGGGATCACATCGTAGATATTGGCTGGAAATTGCTTCTTACACTTAATGTATTTCAGATAGCTTTCCATGTGAGTACGTAACTAGTGATGTGCTGGAACTAGCTCATATCAGCTTGCAATAGCCACTTATGTGCATCTCTTCCCAGCCCTATATTCAATGGTGTTCAATGACATCAAATTGGTATTTTGAAATCTGCCACGGCGGCGGTATTGACATCATGTAAATTGGCAAAGGCTGGAAACCAATCTCCCCTCTTCCCCTGAAAGCTGGTTCTTAAACGTTTACCACTCCTACTCCCCTGCATATAGCTCTCATCCTTTTAAGAACCTAACCGTCCATGGCATTGATGTGCCATAATTTATTTAATCATTCTGTAGTTATTTCTTGAATTTGTGCTTCCTCTAAGAAAATACAGAGTTATTTGATTCACTATGAAGCAGAGCAAATAAGTAACAGAATAAGCAGTTTAAATCCATAGTCAGTGAGACATTAATGATAGCAGCAGTTGAATTTGAACATCAGGTGGTGTTGATATCAAAAAGTACACGTAAATTGGGATATTTCGGTGTGTTGCAATGGGGGGAGAAAAGATTCCCTCTAAAAAGAATTGATCCCATACAGATAGCCCCTCCAGAATATGGAACTATGAAAGTGTAGTCCTATGTTTTCCACTCACTTGCCAATTTTAGCTTTAAGAAACCTCTGTGTCTCAAATAAGCAATTCCAATTGCTTATTTGCTTTCCAATGTGGAAAGGCAGGCTCTTTGAGATGCGCAGAGAAAATTTACTCAGAAATGGAACAGGATGTCTCTCTGAAAAACAGTCGGAGTGTGACTCAGCGGAGGGAGAAAACACAGATCATATGGAAGAGCCAGCAATGGAAAACAGTAGGGCGGCTCCTGTTCCCTGCGCTGCCAAACGCGGGAAGCCATTACGGATGTTAGGTGGATCTTGACTTGGCTTGATGTCACGTTGCCCTGGGTTTAGGTGTCACATGAAAAAGAGTTTTTGTGCTGAAAAGATTATTAGAAAAATTTAGGGAGGAAAAAAAAGAGAGAGAAAAAAAGAGTTAGAAAAAAAAAAGGAGAAATCGTTAACTCTAACCCATATTCTTCCTTTCGGCGAGTCGCTGATGGGCACACATGTGAGGCTGGCCAGTCTCCTTTTCTGGCAACTTCTACTGCTGGATCAGACTGATCTTGGTGTATGCTGCCTGGCCACCCAAGGAAATCAGTTTGAAATTCTGTTCTCAGAAGCTCTCCTTTCTCAAATCTTTGCCTGAGTTTAAAATGTTTGCTCTGAGGGGTTCACTAGTTTTGCCTAAGCTGTATTCAATCATTAAAGGCATCTTAAATATAAATGGTTAAATTTTTTTGTTTGCATGGTTATTACAATGCAATATTTGTAATATTGCTTATAATTATATCTGCTTATAATTGCAATGTTAGAAAATACAGGAAAGAGAAAGTCACTGTCTGTAATTATACTTTAAATATATAAGCTTTATTTAAAATGCAAATAAAAACATACAATCTTCAAGATTGTTTTACAAATGACAAACAATAAAATAATAATTGAGTATATTTTTTAAAGATTTTATTTATTTGTTTGTGAGAGAGAGAGCGAGAGGGAGCATGAGCAGGGGGAGGGGCAGAGGCAGAGGGAGAAGCAGGCTCCCCACTGAGCAGGGAGCCCGACATAGGGGCTCGATCCCAGGACCCTGAGATCATGACCTGAGCCGAAGGCAGACGCTTAACCAACTGAGCCACCCAGGTGCCCCAATAATTGAGTGGATTAGGCGAAAATACTCGTTGCAAAGTATTACATCGATAGAATGTATCTGTTAATGTGAAATTATTGAATCCTGTTCTCTTTTGTATTGTTAGATGTGTAGTCAAATATTTCCAAGCCACTTGTCATGAGAATTTCTCAATTCACTGGTAAGTTCAGCAAATGTTCTGTCATTTTGCAGAGAGCCTGGACCTAGTGTGCTGGCTACTGAGAAAGGGGTGAGGAAGATGTTGCCCTGCCCTTTTCCAGGTCTCAGACAAGTGGACTGGGCTGTGCTCACCTCCTAGATGATGCGATGAAGCAGCTGATGGTCTCTTCTCTCCTCTGCTCTATTCGGCATTGGCCTGGGCCCGAGCCTCTGCTTGCTGCCTGAATTTTAACAGCATGCTGATCTTGCTTCCTGTGTGTCGAAATCTGCTGTCCTTCCTGAGGGGCACCTGCTCAGTGAGTCCCAACCCCTCCTAGGTCAACTTTCACATTAAAGACAAGAGACCCTGAACTCCTCAGTGGGACAGCCCAATATCTTCAAACCCCTAGGAATGGAAGCCAGGGATCTCCTTTGGTAGCCAAGGGGGTAGGCAAGTATTGGTGTGGGGGGTGGGTATTGGTATGCTTTGTTTAAGACATGCTGGTTATGGGTTGCTGAATTTTATCAACTGCCCGGAGACACCGGGCCTTGATCACATTCCATTTGTAGTTCTGCAGGTGCACCCTGAGAAAGCAACTGGATCACAACCTCACCTTCCACAAGCTAGTAGCATATATGATCTGCCTACACACAGGTAACTGAGGCAAACCACAAAACTGCAAGCTCATGAGCATTCAGAATATAGTTTCATTGACCTCTGCATTTAGATATTCAAAAAGTATTTATCTAACACCTGGCACTATTTGCCAGGCACTGTTGTAGGCCTATTTTCTTTCTTTCTTTCTTTTTTTTTTTTTAAAGATTTTATTTATTTATTTGACAGAGAGTGAGAGAGCGCAAGCAGGGGGAGCAGGTTGAGCAAGGAGCCTGATGCGGGGCTTGATCCCAGGACCTGAGCCGAAGGCAGACCCTTAACTGACTGAGCCACCCGGGCACCCCTGTAGGCCTATTTTCATGGAACTTATATTCGATTCATTTGGGAACAGAATGAGAATACAAAAAATCTTGGTTCTCTCTGCAATCAAGATTTATCAGGCACCTTCCATGGACTGAGCATTCTGCTAGACACTATCCACAGGATTCTCCTTTGCTAGTGGGGCATGCCTGCAGTGAGGTTTCTGAGATACCTTTCAATTCCCCGTCGTCTTTCTTTTTTTGTTGTTGCTGATATAACTATATTTTATTTATTTTTATTTTTTTAATTTAATCTTATTATGTTATGTTAGTCACCATACATTACATCATTAGTTTTTGATATAGTGATCCATGATTCATTGTTTTTGTATAACACCCAGTGCTCAGTGCAATACGTGCCCCATCGTCTTTCCATTTAGCTATTCACATCATTGCACACCTGTTCAACTTTGAACACTACAGCAGAAGCCGACAGGACACAGATGGATCCCTTGCCTCCATTCTCTCCACCCTATCTCATCAAGAGAAAGGGGAAGGTTCGTGGCTAAATCCTATCCAGTCCCCAAACATGGTGAGTTGACTCAATGGCAAAGCGTCGGCGATCTGGTCACGAGTATGGAAGGGCATGGTGTGTCTGGCACCCACTGTGTCAGGCTGAAATTTCTCCTTTCGTAGACAGTGGAGTATCTGACATTTACCAGCATTGCTGGTCTCACCGGAGTGATCATCACAATAGCTCTGGTTCTCGTGGTGACTTCAGCTATGGAGTTCATCCAGAGGAGTTATTTTGAGGTCTTCTGGTACACACACCATATTTTTATCATCTACTTCATTGGTTTAGGGATTCACGGCATTGGGTAAGGTCCTCGAACCCTCATTCTCATGCCCCAGCCCCTGACCTTGCATAATTCTTTGCCTCCAACTGTCCTTCTTTGTCTGTCTCAGTGGAATTGTCCGGGGTCAAACAGAAGAGAGCCTGAATGAGAGTCATCCTCACAGGTGTGCAGAATCTTTCAAGCACTGGGATGATCATGACTCCCACTGCAAGCATCCCTGATTTGAAGGGCTCCCCGCTGAGGTAAGAACCCCAGAGACAAGGATAGACTCTAGTTAGGAGCTGTTATTGCTATTGTTGTTATTATTACTCTTATTATTGTTCCTGTTACTAGTTCAGTGCTGTGCTGAGTCCAATGGAGGATATATTCACAAGGCTCCTTCCATCAAGGAACTCCATTATTCCTGGCAACAGGCCAGGGAATTACCATTAGCAGGGGATCCTGAAGAGGAAGGACTAATGGTTATTGCATGTTGTGAGACCCTATCTAAAAGTAATAATGATACCTCACATTATTAATAGTGTTTACCATGGGACAGGTTTGCTGTGTAATATGGATTATCTCATTTATACATAGCAATAATCGATGAGGTAGGTATTTTTTGGTCTCCATTGTGAGACAATAGGACTAGGATTCAAAGAAATTCAACTGTCAGGCTCTCACAGTAAGTAACTAGTGGAACTGGAATTCAAGCCCAGGCTTTTCAGATTCCAAAGACTGCGCTCTTAACCACTGAAATCCAGTCAATTTTCTTGGGGGGAAGAAATGCATTCTTTTCCCCCCAGCTTTATTGAAGTACAATTGACAAATAAAATTGTATATATTTGAAACATACAATGTGGTGAGTGACACATGCATACTTTGTGAAATGATCACCATAATGAGATTAATTAACACATCCATCACCTCACAGTTACCATTTTGTGTGTGTGGTGAGAATGCTTAAGATCTACTCTTTGAGCAAATTTCAAGTATGCTATACAGTATTATCAACTGCAGTCACCATGCTTTACATTAGATCCCCAGAGCTTATTCATCTTATGACTGAAGTCACATACCCTTTGACCAGCATTTTTCCATCACTTCCCCACCTCCCATCCCAGACCCTGGTTACCCACCTTCCTAGTCTCTGTTTCTATAAGTTCAACTTCTTTTTTTTTAAAGCATTCTCGAAGTCAGTTTTCTTTGGTGTTATAAGAACATGCTTGGAAATTATTATTAAATAGTGGACAACCAAGAAACTGGATTCCAGGAAACTCAAGGTGTGCCTTGGGATAATTATTGTGGATATCATGGTTTACCTTTACATGCTCATAAAATATGTTAGATGGAGGAATAAATGGAAGGGAAAGGTAAACTTGTGGTGTCTCAGAGTGCTCTGGGGGTGATTAAAGTCTTTAAATCAGTTGCAGAATTAAGAGCAGTATCTTGATCCTCATCAAAAATGGGAATAATATCTTTTAAAAACCCCTAAAGTTGGCATTTCAAATCAGTTGAGAAAAATATATATCATTCAACAATTTTTTAGGACAATAGGTTATCCATCCAGGAAGAAAAGCTGAATCTTGATTCCACACTTTACACTAAAATATGAATCAGGAATGCATGGATCAAGGATTTAAGTGTTAAAGAAAGGAAAGAAATCATAAAAGCATCCTAAGACCATCTGGTAAATTTTTTTCTAATACCGAAGGATTAGCAAAAAATTCCCTCAATAAGATTTAAAAAGACCTTGAAGTCAGAAAATAAAATAAAATAAATTTGAATAAATATATATTAAAATGTGTTCTATATAAATTTTTAAATTTTTATTTAAATTCTAGTTATTTAATGTACAGTGTAATATTAGTTTCAAATGTACAATTTAGTGATTCAGCACTTCCATACAACACCTGGTGCTCATCACAAGTGCACTCCTTGATCCCCATGTCCATTTCACCCATCCCCTCACCCACCTCCCCTCTGGTAACCATCAGTTTGTTCTTAGAGTTAAGAGTGTGTTTCTTGGTTTGCCTTTCTCTCTCTTCTTTTTGCTATGCTCATTTGCTTTGTTTCTTAAATTGTACATGTGAGTGAACTCATATGGTATTTGTCTTTCTGTAATTGACTTATTTCGCTTAGCATAATGCTCTCTAGCTCCATGTTGTTGCAAATGGCAAGATTTCATTCTTTTTTATGGCTAATATTCCTATATATATATATATATATATATATATATATATATATATATATATATATATATATATACCACTTCTTCTTTATCCATTCATCAGTCGATGGACATTTGGGCTCTTTCCATAATTTGGCTATTGTGGATGGTGCTGTTATAAACATCGGGGTGCATGTATCCCTTTGAATTAGTATTTCTGTATCCTTTGGGTAAATACCTAGTGCAATTGCTGGATCATAAGGTAGTTCTATTTTTAACTTTTTGAGGAACCTCCATACTGTTTTCCAGAGTGGCTGCACCAATTTGCATTACCACCAACAGTGCAAGAGGGATCCATCCCTTTTCTCTGCATTCTTGCCAACATCTATTGTTTCCTGCGTTGTTAATTTTAGCCATTCTAACTGGTCTAAGGTGATGTCTCATTGTAGTTTTGATTTGCATTTCTTTGATGATGAGTGATGTTGAGCAACTTTTCATGTGTCTATTGGCCATCTATGTGTCTTCTTTGGAAAAATGTCTATTCTGTCTTCTGCCCATTTTTTAACTGCATTATTTGGTTTTTGGGTGTTGAGTTTGATGAGTTCTTAATATACTTTGGAAACTAACCCTTCATCAGACATGTCATTAGCAAATACCTTCTCCCATTCTGGAGGCTGCCTTTTAGTTTTGATGATTATTTCCTTTGCTGTGCAGAAGCTTTTTATTTTGATGTAGTCCTAATAGTTTATTTTTACTTTTATTTCCCTTACCTCAGAAGACATATCTAGAGAAATGTTGCTATAGCTGAAGTCAGAGAAATTACTGCCTATGGTGTATTCTAGGATTTGTATGGTTTCATTTAGGTCTTTTATCCATTTTTGAGTTTATTTCTGTGGATGGTATAAGAAAGTGGTCCAGTTTCATTCTTTTGCATGTTGTTGTCCAGTTTTCCCAACACCATTTGTCAGAGAGGCGGTCTTTTTCCCATTGGATATTCTTTCCTACTTTGTTGAAGATTAATTGATGATACAGTTGTGGGTTCATTTCTGGGTTTTAAAATTCTATTCCATTGATCTATGTGTCTATTTTTGTGCCAGTATCATACTGTTTTATTTATTTATTTATTTATTTATTTATTTATTTATTTATTTATATTTTTTATACTGGTTTGAATACTACAGCTTTCTTTTTTTTTAAGATTTTATTTATTTATTTTGAGAGAGAGAATGAGATAGAGTGAGCATGAGGGGGGGAGGGTCAGAGGGAGGAGCAGACTCCCTGCTGAGCAGGGAACCCGATGCGGGACTCGATCCCAGGACTCCAGGATCATGACCTGAGCCGAAGGCAGTCGCTTAACCAACTGAGCTACCCAGGGGCCCTGAATACTACAGCTTTCTAACATAAATCTGGAATTGAAGACTGGAATTGTGATACCTCCAGTTTTGTTTTCTTTTTCCAGATTGCTTTGACTATTTGGGGTCTTCTGTGGTTCCACATAAATTTTAGGATTGTTCTAGTTCTGTGAAAAATGCTGTTGGTATTTTGATAAGGATTGCATTAAATCTGCAAATTTCTATGGGTTATACACACATTTTAACAGTATTTGTCTTCCAATCCATGAGCATGGAATATCTTTCCCTTTCTTTGTGTCATCTTCAATTTCTTTCATCAACGCTTTATGGTTTTCAGAGTACAGTCTTTCACCTCTTTGGTTAATTTTATTCTTAGTTATTTTATTATTTTTGGTGTAATAGTAAATGGTGTTGCTTTCTTAATTTCTCTTTCTGTGGCTTCACTGAAACATTTGTTTTTAAAAAGCTCTATGGTATAACATTTTTGTCAATTTTTTAATGTGATTATTTTTAATGACCTGAGGGCATTATGCAAAGTGAAATAAGTCAGATGGAAAAGGACAAATACTGTGTGATCTCACTGTATGTAGAATCTTACTTTAATGAACCTAACTCATAGATATGGAGAACATATTGGTGGTTTCCAGAGGCAGGGGGTGGGGAGTGGGCATAATGAGTGAAGGTGGTCAAAAGGTACAAACTTCCAGTTATAAAATAAATAAGTCATGGGTATGCCATGTACAGCATGGAAACTATAGTTAATAATACTGTATTGCACATTTCAAATTTGCTAAGATAGTAGATATTAAAAGTTCTCAGCACAAGAAAAAAATTTTTGCAACGATGTATGGTGACGGATATTAACTATACTTATTGTGATCATTTTGCAATATATACAAATATTGAATCATCATGGTATACACCTGAAACTAATGTAATGCTATATGTCAATTATATCTCAATACAAAAAAATGAAATAAAAATAAAAATTAAAAAAACACAGTTGGGTATTGGCAAAAAAATCTGTGTGGTATACCATTTTTGTCATTTTTTTTCTTAGTAAATAATAGGGCCATTCCTATACTCGTATACTTTGTGCACACCTTAATTATATCTTTATGCTCCATTTCCTAGAAGTGAAATTTCTGGGTCAAATAGAAGGAATGCTTTTAAGGCTGTTGGGATGTATTACCAAATTGCTCTCTGGGAAGATGCTACTAATTTGTCCCTCCACTGACTGCACGTGTGAATGTGCCCATCTCCCTGCATCCCAGTTAATGGTGGGCATATTGTTTAATGTTGTTTTCCAATCTGAGAGGCTAGAGTGTTATTTTGGTTTAATATTCATTTCTCTGATTACTTCTGAGGTCAAAATTTTTTTGCCACGTTGTTATTAGCCATTTCTTAAATATATTTTTTGTGTGTTTTCTCTGAAGACATGGAGAATTTTTTTCCAAATCAGGAGTAGCATCAAATTGTATAATACCCACTCTCAAGTTCACCTGCCACATCTCTGCCCCTTTCCTCCCTGGAGATACCCAAGGAAGTTGTTTGCCTGAAACAGCATAAGAAACCTCATTCCACACAGTTCTGATGTTTCACGCTGAAGCAATTTTGCAAGAAAGGACATGACTTAGCATTGCTAGGAAATACATTTTTAGTAGCTCCTGTGCATATTGGAGCAACCTGCTACCTTTGAGAGGATCTCAGGGATAGAAAGACTGCTTTTAAAAAAAATGTAGAGAAGATAAAAAGTATAGTACTATGTTAGGTGTTTTGAGCACCTGAGAAAAGATGTGATGGATAAATACCAAGTTTTATATAGTGTTACCAATAGTGTCAGCCATGGGCTTTCTCTTCTTTGTTAGTTTGTTTTGCTTTTAATCATCTGCTTCTCTCTTGGTTTTTCAGTTTGGACAAATTGTACTGGAAGACTGTCTTGGAGTCTTAAAATTAAAATGTATATATAATTTAAGAATATATATAATATACATTATATGTATAATTACCACATATTTTATTTTTGTGCTTTTCTTTGCTTCCTAGTGAGACTTGTAAAACTTCAGGAAATGATCTGCTTTATGAGTAACAGATTAGCAAACAAAACCATTATAATTTATTCCTTTCCATTTCCGTCTGTGAGATTTGGCGAAATTAGTGGCTTAATAATGATACACATCAGAGAACTTGATAAATATTATTGAATGAAGAAATGAACTGCTACACATATAAATCCTCAACAGGAGATTAATATGTAACCTCACTCTTTATTGTTTCTCTGTGCAGTCTTGCAAGTGGATCCTTGCACCAGGGGTTCTTCATATCTTTGAACGGATTCTCCGATTTTACCGCTCGCAGCAGAAGGTCGTGATTACCAAGGTAAAGAATATGCACTTTCCAGGGATCCTGGCTGACTCAGTGGGAGGAATGTGTGACTCTTGATGTTGGGGCCATGAGTTCAAGTTCCACATGGGGTGTAGAGATTACTTTAAAAAAAAAAAAAACTTTAAAAAAGAATATGCACTTCCGGGCACCTGGGTGTCTCAGTCGGTTAAGCGTCTGCCTTTGGCTCAGGTCATGATCCCAGGGTCCTGAGGTCGAGCCCCACGTTGGGCTCCCTGCTCAGCGGGGAGCCTGCTTCTCCCTCTCCTCCTGGCTTGTGCTCTCTCTCGCTCTCTGTCACTATCTGTCTGTTTCTCTCTCAAATAAATAAATACAATCTTTAAAAAAAAAAAGAATATGCATTTGGGGCACATGGGTGATGAAGTCGGTTAAGAGTTCGACTTCTGGGGGCGCCTGGGTGGCTCAGTCGTTAAGCGTCTGCCTTCGGCTCAGGTCATGATCCCAGGGTCCTGGGATCGAGCCCCGCATCGGGCTCCCTGCTCCGCGGGAGGCCTGCTTCTCCCTCTCCCACTCCCCCTGCTTGTGTTCCCTCTCTCGCTGTGTCTCTCTCTGTCAAATAAATAGATAAAATCTTTAAAAAAAAAAAAAAAGTTCGACTTCTGGTTTTGGCTCAGGTCCTGATCTCAGGGTTGTGGGATGGAGCCCTGCATCGGGCTCCACACTCAGGGCCAAGTCTGCTTGAGGACTCTCTCTCCCTCTCCCCTACCCCACTAAAATAAATAAATAAATCTTAAAAAATGTTTTTTAAAAAAGAATATGCACTTTCTTCTAGCTGTCATAAGAGTTCTTTTCTTCCTGATTATAGGAATAGATTGTGATGTTGTCACTCTGAAAGGAATAAAAAAGAGCTGGAGGCAACATACTTTAGTTCCCCCAGTGCTGGACAGAACTAGGGGGAAAAGTTTTGGCAGAAATCATCAGCATGGGTCTTCATCAGAGGCTGCAAACAGGTGGCCTGGGCCAGTCCACAGACATCCTTCGGTTGGCCCGCACACTGATTGCTTGGAAAATTGAATTGGTTGCTGACATTTAAACATCCAGAGGGAGGCTTTCACAGTAAAAGAAAAATGGCCCTTCTATCTTCTACTGAAGAATCAGGCAACCCGATAACGCTGAGTTGCGGTTCCATAGTGCACCCACCATCTGGGCAAAGTCACTGGTGCCCCCTTTCGAAAGGACTTCTGCTCGCAGTTCACCACCATCGCCAGCCCTCCCACTTTACTGATTTAGTTCATCTGCCTGCCCCTTATCACCATTTGAGTTTGCCTCCTTTGGCCTCTGTGCTTCATTCGCAGGTTGTCATGCACCCATCCAAAGTTCTGGAATTGCAGATGAACAAGCGTGGCTTCCGCATGGAAGTGGGACAGTATATTTTTGTTAATTGTCCCTCCATCTCTTATTTGGAGTGGCATCCCTTTACTCTGACCTCTGCTCCAGAGGAAGACTTCTTCTCTATTCATATCAGAGCGGCGGGGGACTGGACAGAAAATCTCATCAGGGCTTTTGAGCAGCAGCAGTCACCCATTCCCAGGTGGGTCTTTGAGAGCAGCCGAGACCCAGAGCAGAGGCAGACAGGCAGACAAGAGGAAGCGATTCCTTGTTGAACCTTAAGTCTGGTGCAATCGAATATGATGAAGATAAACAGGCACTACACGAACCATGGGAACAGCTATGTCCTGGGAGGGATGTTTGAGGTTGGGGCTGGAGGTGAGACTTCACTTGCCCATTGTCTTCTGTCTGCTGCCAGGACTGAGGTGGATGGTCCCTTTGGCACTGTCAGTGAAGATGTCTTCCAATATGAAGTGGCTGTGTTGGTTGGAGCAGGAATTGGGGTCACCCCCTTTGCTTCCATCTTAAAATCCATCTGGTACAAATTTCAGCGTGAAGATCACAACCTTAAAACACAAACGGTAACTCCCTCATACTTCTTTTCATCTGGTCTGGGACTGACAGGTCCACTGCTTTCATGGCTTAAGCTCTTCACAACTGATCCCTGGAGCTATGAGAGTGAGTGATCTCTTCTCTCTGCCAAGGCATCCATTTCTGTAAGATTCATCATAGGAACAGGGTCTTCATTTTCAATTTGGAGTTCAAAATCACCTTGAACCATAGATGATGTTGGAAGTCTTTTTCCTTAAGGGAAGTCGTGAGAACTCTGGACGTTCATGATGCTCTGTACAACTGATTTTTCAGGTCACCTGTAGACTTGACCAACAAATATAGAGTATATATAATAGTCATGTCACCACAATGGACATCTTAAAGGCACTTGAATAAGGCTATGTTCTCTCTTGCTGGTTCCAGATCTATTTCTACTGGATCTGCAGGGAGACAGGTGCCTTTGCCTGGTTCAATGACCTGTTGGCTTCTCTGGAACGTGAGATGGAGGAATTAGGCAAAGTGGATTTTCTAAACTACCGTCTCTTCCTCACCGGATGGGACAGCAACATAGTGAGTTCAAACAATTGATTGAAACACTAATTCCCACGTTAGATGCAAGATCAATGTCAGACAAGGTCGTGCGTGCTGATTGGAAATAATGATTTCTTACCCGCCCTCACCCCCACCCCCAAGTTTAAAAGTGGCTGAAGGAAGAGACAGCTGTCAGGACCTGCTTTTTCTAACTTTTATTTCTTTGAATCCAGGCCGGTCACGCCGCATTAAACTTTGACAAGGCCACTGACATCCTGACAGGTCTGAAACAGAAAACCTCCTTTGGGAGACCCATGTGGGACAATGAGTTTTCTACAATAGCTAATGCCCACCCCAGGTAAGTGTGTTCTCCTCTAGTTAGTTGAGTTTGCAGAGTTAGGGTTTAGGAAAGCTATTACAGCATGTTGAACACTCTTAGGAAAAAGATCTCTGGGGCAGAAACTATTTGCACCATTCTTAGATTCTCGCTCCAAGCTGAACAAAATTTCATCCGGGGTTTTAGCCAAATAAGGGTTATGACCTTGTAATGGATGAGATGTTTTCTGCCCCTACATTCCCCATTCAAACAGTGAGGCAAGGGGACTCAGTTCTGATCAGTATTACCAAATAAAATGGAAAACTGGAAAAATTCAAATGCATTGTTTTTGGCCTTAATAATCCCTACTTAAAGTAAGAAAGGTTTAGAGTGTATTATCTAGTTAACTGATAACCTGACCTCTGTCTTTCTGAAGAGTTTTGAGATATGCTAGAGCATATAGGAAAACCTGGTGCCATGAAATCAGCCATTTCAAGGGGAAGGAGATTGAGCTGATCATTAGATAAGTTCCTGGAACAAGTTGGCAGCTGAAGATCAGTTCAATTCCACAGACATTATTGGTTACCTTCTATAAGCTCAGCACTCACTATTCTACAAGTTTTGGAGGTTGAAAGAGAAATAGAATATGGTTCTTGCCCTCAAGGAGCACACATTTTAATAAGAGGTGCATACAGTCAACTCAAAACAGAATGATGCACTCTATGAAACAAGTACGTAGACATGGAGGGAAGGAAAGTCTATGCCCACGTGGGGTGGTCAGGGCAGGCTTCATGAAGGCAGTGGTGAGAACACTTAGTCACTCGGATTCAGATGATCCTGGGTCCTAATGCTAGTTCTGACACTTTCCATTTATGGGACCTTGAGCTAGAAAGTCCTCTGATCTTCCGATTTCTTATCTATGAAATGGGGGTTATATTAGTAAATGCCCTCTCTACTCACTTGCAGAATTGTTGTAAACATTAAGCAATACATACATGAAAAATGCTGTGTAAACAGTAAAGCAGCATTTAAACGAAAGAGATTATGTTAATTATCGTGTTGAGCTGACCATAGCTGAAGTTGTGAGGATGGATGAGATTGCCAGGAGAGAGGGTGGCAGAGGACAGAGTGAGGAATGCTTACATTGTGTGGGAAGGGAGAAAAATGAGCCAAGGAGGAAGTAGGAGAATGTGGAGAAATGGTGTCACAGAAGCCAAGGGAGGAAATATTAGAGAAGTGTGGTCAACAATGCTGGAGGAGTGGCAGGGTCCAGAAAATGCTTATTTAACTTAACGATGATCTAAGCATACTTATAGACAGAACAGGAGCCAGTGGATAGGAATAAAGTAAATATGCAAAAATGGGGAGAGGGCTAGGGTGGCCATGATAAAAGATGGGCAGTAAGGGGTGCCTGGGTGGCTCAGTCAGTTGGTTAAGCTTCTGTCTCCGGCTCAGGTCTTGATTTCAGGGTCCTGGGATCGAGCCCCACATCGGGCTCCCTGCTCAGCGGGGACTCTGCTTCTTCCTCTGCCCCTCACCCTGCTTGAGCTCTCTCTCTCAAATAAATAAATAAATAAATAAATAAATAAATAAATAAATAAACAAATAAATAAATCTTTTTTTACAACAGATTTTATTTATTTGACAGAGAGAGACACAGCGAGAGAGGGAACACAAGCAGGGGGAGTGGCAGAGGGAGAAGCAGGCTTCCCACGGAGCAGGGAGCCCGATGTAGGGCTCGATTCCAGGACCCTGGGATCATGCCCTGAGCCAAAGGCAGACGCTTAACGACTGAGCCACCCAGGCGCCCCAATAAATAAATCTTAAAAAAAAAAAAGATGGGCAATAAGAGTTGGCGAACAAGTGGAGAAATTGTAGGAGAGTTCCTCCCACATTGCTTGTGGGAATGTGGAACAGTGAGGCACTTGGGGAAAACTCTGGCATTTCCTCAGAATGATAAACAGTTACCACCTGACCCAGCAATTTCGCTCCTAAGTATATACCCAGGAGAACTGAAAACAGCCTTTGCTCTCCACACAAAAACTTGTACATGAATGCATGCAGAATAGCCAAAAAGTGGAAATAACTCAAGTATCCATCAACAGATGAAGGGATAAACAACATATGGTATATCCACACAGTGGGATCTTATTCAGCTGTAAAAAAAGGAATGAAGTACTGACACACGCTATGACATGGATGAACCTTGAAAATAGCATGTTAAGTTCAAGAACCAGACCCCAAAGGCCACCTAGTGCATGGCTCCATTTATTTTATTTCATTTTTTAAAAGATTTTATTTATTTATTTGACAGAGAGAGAGAGAGAGAGCGCCAGAGAGCACAAGCAGGGGGAGTGGGAGAGAGAGAAGCAGGCTCCCCGCTGAGCAGGGAGCCCGATGCGGGGCTCGATCCCAGGACCCTGGGATCATGACCTGAGCCGAAGGCAGACGCTTAACGACTGAGCCCCCCAGGAGCCCCTGTATGACTCCATTTATATGAAATGTTCGGAACAGGCAAATCTAGAGATTTAAAAGTGGATTTGAGGGGCGCCTCAAGGAAAAGACCCAGAGCACAGTTAGAAAGATTATCCTTGGCAAGAAGGCTCACCACCTCTTCAGTGTGAGAAATTTTGGAGTGGGGTAGATGCACAGTGGATGGCTCTAACTTGCTATGTGCCAGGCACTTTTCGAATTGCTTTACATACATTGTCATTCAAACCCCCAAACAACCCAGTGAGGTGGGGCCTATCTTGATCCTCGTCTTACAGGGGGGAAACCTGAAACAGAGAGGTTAAAGAAACTTGCCTGAAGTCACCCAGCTGGGGTAAGTGTCAGAGCTGGTATTCCAACCCAGATAGCTGGGCTCCAGGGTCTAGCACTTCACCTGTACCCTGCACCGTTGTCTCCTGAGTTTCTGTTCTCAACAGAACAGGCAAGGCTGCCCGCGGAGAGTGTGACCGCGGAGAGTGTGACAAGGGCTGAGAGCACGTTGGGGGCTTGCGGGCAGAAAAGGTGAGAAAACTACCGTGAAGAATGTGAGGGAGTCAGAATGCCTGACTAGGCAAGGTTGTGGGAGTAGTAGAGGCCTAGCAGAGGCAGTTTCTCCAGCCTCACCGACATAGCCCCTTTCGCTGGATTCTAGCCCTTTCAATTGTTCGATTCCTGCAGGTCTGTGGTGGGAGTCTTCCTATGTGGTCCTCAGACCCTGGCAAAGAGCCTGAGCAAACGCTGTCACCAATACTCCAGTCTGGATCCCAGGAAGGTTCAATTCTACTTCAACAAGGAAAACTTCTGAATTACAGGAACGAGGATGCTACTCTGCATTTTAGTCTCTCCTCTGAATCTCCCAACAACTTAGTCTGATCAGGTTTGGGCAGCCCTTTAAGGACAGTAACATGCCTCAGGCTCTGACTCCCTAGCCTCTCTTTTTTGATTGGATTCAACTTGGATGTCACTGATCTTCACGAGGCCACGATAATTGCAAAGGCCATGGATCCTTTCTTGGGAAAAGAACTGTAAATCCTTCTGGAATGCCATGACTGCAACAAGGCCTGAGAGCCGAGGTGGTTGACAGCTACATGACTTGACCCCAGGTGATACTGATTCCAAGTGTTACTTGGAATCTCCCAGCCTTAGGTCATATTTTCCCCTCCCTCTGACCTTCAAAGAAAATTTGTAAATAGGGTGATTTTCTTTAAATAAAAAATTTATTGAAGAATTAATGACAAAACATAATCATAAGCATAAATAATAAAACAATGAACATAAAATCACCAAGAACCCCATCCCTATATAACACTATGTACATTCTTACTGTTATTTAAAACATGATCTTATCCAGTGTGAATAGCAATTTCTGCTTTACTTATTTTTGCTTGTCAAGAAATGAAGGATTTTCCTCTTTGCTTAATGAATGAATCTTATTACTTAATCTAGGTTCTCCATTTGGGAAAGAAAATCTTGAAACGATGCTAATTATAATTGAAATTATAATTGAAAGTCAGATATATTATCATTAGCTTACATGGTTCTGTTGGAAATAATTGCAAAAACTTGAACTCCATCTTAAGATGACTTAGTCAACAGGGGCTCTTTATCATCATTTTTACTAAGGTGGTTTACGAACGTTTCTTTTTTAAAAAAGATAATTTAAAACTTTGATACCATTTTTCCGGCTCTTCCCTATTTATTAAGGAATCATTCACCTAATGACATAAGCAAAATGTCTTATCTCCTATCAAAATGCTTTTTATTTCTCCCATCCACCTGGCTCTGGGATGTTAGTAGACACTGTGATCAGTAGAAGCGAAGACTGAGGGGCCCTTAAAAGAGAGGGGAAAAAAAACCCATACTTCATTGTGCCCAAAGACAAGTCAACTGATTAAATTTGTAAGACTGTTTCTACTAAATTAGCATTATAGCACCTATTTCTCTACCATTAAGTGACCAAAAATGAACAGATGGTTGTTTCTAATTATCCAAAAATCTGTATGACTTGAAGGATTAGTAAGATCCATTTTCAGTAACTAGTCTGAACAAAACAAAGGTGTCATGAACTCACGGCAGCTAATTGTGTTTCATTTATTAATTGGACATCAGAAAAAATAGTAATGGATATTTCCGTAGGAACAGATTGGAATATCCCTGCTGTTGCTGATTTCCTGGATTTCAACAATCTAAATGAAATTTAATAAGGCTTTAGGAAAATGCACAATGGAACCTGGATGATTTGGTTCCTCTTAGACAACTGCTGACTACATAATTTGATCTTCGTTGATTTTGATCTGGAATCTTAGTGTTCCTTGAAACTTACATAATGAGTTCCTAATGAGAAAGGCTTCACTCTCGGTTTCAATGTCTAACTATATCAATACTTTGAGATAGGACTACTGCTAAAATCAACATGTTAAGGCCTAGAATATTCATGGAAGTAGGCAGAAAAGGTAATGATAATAATAAATCCTATGTATAATCAACATCCAAGCCTGAATTGGGGATGAGCAGGAGTCCCAGAAAGCTCCTCAGCTGTTTTGAGCGTTTTTCTTCCTAGGTTGTAATATGAAGTAGCTTATTCAGCAAATTTTTGTCGTAGTAAACGTTTATATATCAGAATAGAAAATCCCTCAATTTCAATGTCTCTCATAAAGTTGATTATCATTGCATTCTTTTGCTTGACATGTAAGCAATATGCTATTACATTCTCTAAGCCTATGGCAGGCTTTTAATTCACTTGACCATAATCCTCACCCAGAGGGTAGGATTCTGAGAATATAAATAGGTTCAAAGAATAGTTCCAGTGGAACTTTACTAATTATTAAGGCATCTCTTAACCTCTTGAGGTTGGCCTGATGGGAGAGAAATCATGTTCCTCCTTAATGCCACTATGAGAGAGAGAATACTAGGTAGGAGGAGCCATAGGTCAGAGCGAGTGGCACTAATTACTGTCATATCCATCTGTAAGGAAGCAGGCAGGGGCAGGCCTAATGGGCAATCTGACTGCTTGTGATCTACACTTGGTCCTCTTAAAATAAATGAGAAGAATGTAAAAGTTTTAGGGTTTTCTATGTTTTAATTTCCCAAAATAAATTTGGTTATGGGGGAAGGCTATAAGTTAGTGATTATCTAGAAGGCAGAATGAAATGTATTTTGTTCCTTTGATTTCTATTTAGTTTTTACTTCATCTTGAACATGTGAAAAGTTAGTGGCTTCTTTAACTTTTAAGGTTGACTACCAAGACTGAAGAGTTTTAGAACAGACAGGTAAATGTTAACAGTCTCCTGTGTTGCTGACACACTTGAACCAGTGCCAATATAACATTTTTGTCTTAGCTCTGAAATATGCATGTGAATAAACCTGCTATTGATAAAAAAAAGTGCATTTTGATCATTAGATTTTCCTAAACTAAATACACTGCTCTGCTAGGCTCTTTGCTTTGTTGGCCTTCTGACCATTTAATAGCTCTAAGCAGGGGCTATTTTCTCCCAGTAAACTCAGAAGTTCTAGCAAGTTCTCAAAGGGCAAATATTATTCCTGCTGGAAGCAAACAAAGCAAAAACTAAGTTCCAGAAAACATTGCTTCTGAGAAATTCTCAAATATCACCAAGAAGAATAAGTGGTTAACTTAAAGGAAAAACAGAACTATGGCAATATAACATTAAAGTACAATACTGCGGTAAGGGTTGAAAACACATCTAAGGTTTCACCCTTGGTGTTCAGCCTTTTAAAAGCAAAAAGGTCGTGTATATCAATTTGCAGTATACTAAAATTGTGTTCAAAGTTTATTTCAAGTCACAGAAAATATACAAACTAAGACAACAGAATGAACTGATTTTGTTCTGAGAGAAGGTGATGGGAATCCTCCACCTGGCACCAATTTGAGTCATTCAAGGGTTAGGATGCAGAAGTCATCTTTTTGCAACATTTCAACAAAGTTATGGAATTAATTTCCCGATTTGTTGCCAGGTATTTTTGAAAACCTGTAAGGAAAAGTTGGGAGAAAGCCATTAGAAATGGAGACAAAGTTCTCTTTCCCAAACATCAGGAGAAAAAATTTCAAAGCAGGGGAGGGAGGCTATGCAAAAGAGCAAATCACCAGGGAGAGATTCCTAAGGGGTCTGCCTCCAGGATCCCCAAAGTAATCACCTCTTATAGCAGGGTTTCTCAACCTCAGCATTACTGACATTTGGGGACAGAGAACTCTTTGTTATGCGGGGGGGCGGGGGGGGAGATATCCTACGATTATAGGATGTTTAGAAGCATCTCTGGTCTCTACCCACTGAATGCCCGTAGTATACCATATCCCGAAAGTTGTGACAATGAAAAATGTCTCCAGACATTTCCAAATGTCCTACAGGGAGCAAAACTGCCTCTGGTTGAAAACCACTGATCTACCAGTAATAGTAGAGAGACCTGTCACAAGTGATAGCAGAAATGGATCACAACCAGCAAGGTACCGGATGGACAGAGAGCCAACATTTTGGCCACAGTATGCACGGGTAACAGCAAATACACATTAAAACCTTGCCCACGTAAAACTGTATAGAACTACATGCACACAGCACATCTCACTCACATGAATGTAGGTTTAAAAAATGGTGAAAACTGAATGTAGGTTTAAAAAATGGTAAAAATGGAATAAGGTCTGTAGTCTAGCTAACTGTAATGTACCAATGTCAGTTTCTTGGTTTTGTACTACAAACCAAAAAGGTATTGCACAACAGCTTCTCAAGATGTTATCACTGGGGGAGGTTGGGGGAAGGGTACAAGAGGCTCTTTGTACTATTTTTCCAACCTTCTGTGAATTTATAATTATTTCAAAATAAAATGTAAAACAAGCAAAAACCTTTGCCCTGTGGTGTATGTGCAAGGCTTTGAAATATCTTATAAGCTAGAATACGTAATGAAAGAACTTTCAGAAACATTTCTGTCTCCACTATCTAAAAAGAGTAATTTCCCCATATTGTAGGGAATACCTTCTCTGACATAAATAAATTAGAAAAAGTAAAAGAGGAGAACAGTTTTTAATCTATTCCTCTGAATATAATAGTCTATACTTTTACTAAAAAAAAAAATGGCCTTGGGCATCTGGACTAAAAAGGTAAAGTAGTGGTCATACCAAAAGTCTGGCTAGCTATCCATCTATGATAGCTTCTCATTATAGTTCAGTCATTTAAAGTCTAAATACAGGGATGCCTGGGTGGCTCAGTCAGTTAAGCGTCTGCCTTCGGCTCAGGTCATGCTCCCAGGGTCCTGGGATTGAGCCCCACTTCGGGCTCCCTGCTCAGCGGGGAGCCTGCTTCTCCCTCTTCCTCTGCCTGCAGCTCCACCTGCTCGTGCTCTCCCCGCCCCCCGTCAAATAAATAAATAAAATTATTAAGAAAACAAAGTCTAAATACAGATATGAAGCATATTTCCAGTTTAGATGTTTTAGTAATTTTGCAAATATGGATTAAAACACAATATATTTGGTAAAGACTGCTAAGTACTGTAAATGAGTTCACTATTATATGATAATATATGAATGGGATTATAATACAGATGGGGTAACAAGTAGAAATTCAAAATGTGATATTCCAGCTGACACTGGGACAATGTGAATTTTAAACTGTTTTTAGAAAACAGAATTATTGGGGTGCTTGGCTGGCTCAGTTGGTAGAGCATACGACTCTTGATCTCAGCATTGTAAGTCTGAGTCCCAAGTTGGGTACAGAGATTATTTAAAACTAAAAGAATCTTTAAAGAAAAAAGAAAACAATTATTTATTTTTTTTTAAAGATTATTTATTTATTTATTTGACAGCGAGAACTGAGAGCGTGTGCACAAGCAGGGGGAGAAACAGACTCCCCACTGAGCAAGTAGCCCGATCGAGCTCGGCTCGATCCCAGGACCCTGAGATCAAGATCTGAGCTGAAGGCAGATGCTTAACTGACTGAGCCACCCAGGCTCCCCAAGAATACAATTATTTATGAAATACAATATATTGGGCAAAATGGTTTTTAAAAGAAATGCCAATACATGGAATCAGATGGTTCCATGATTATGATCCGTTTTATCTGACAGATAAGGAAGAAAAAGAAAGGGCAGCAGTGTACAGCAACCTCTAAAACGTAAAGGGACTGATGGTGATGATGGACGGTCACCACCCTGAAATATGTGCTCTAACAGTTTACCATCAAAATAGTTAATATTAAATAAATACTGGAAACCAAAATATTTATACGTTTTATGGAAATGCTTTGTATTTTCTCCATTTTGATGGGACAGCTGGAGTAAAATAACACAACTGATCCTGGAAGGATACACAATAAACTACACTTAGAGGTTGTCTGGGGAAGGAGATTAAGGAAGCAGAGCTTCTTACCCCGACTTTTCTCCATTTTGGTATTTGATTCATTTTGTAAAAGTGATCACATTACTTTTGCCATTAGGAAAGAAAGGTTAAAAAAGATTACAACCAACTCAACAACTGAACAGATACCCTGTTGCCTTTCCCTACCCTGACAGAGGCTGACCTAATGAAGGGTGAAGAGTCTAGCCACGAGGAGTGTGGGCCTCGGATAGTCTTTAGATCAGGAGAATGTTGTTGGTTAAGGCTGAAAGTATCTAATACCCCAAATGGACAAGGAGTTTGTTCAACTTAGGCAGGTTAAGTCTGCTCACCTTTCAAGGTGCTCCAGTGGATTTCTGTATTTGTTCCTTTAAGATCAGGATACTCTGCCTCTGCTCAGGAGGCAGCATGGCGATCTGGTCTGCAGTCAGCTGAAGAACCTGCATGATCAAAGCAGCCTGTGAAGAGAAAAGAAAGGGAATGAGTTTTAATGATGGCAACTAAAAAACCACCACCAGCTTTTGTCCAAAAAGGAAGGATACCTCACACATAGAATAGTGCAGGCAAAAAAACCCCACCCCAAACCAAATCAAACCAAAACCGGCTGGTGAGAAAAGGCACAATGAAAAGCTCAAGTACAATCATACCTAAGATTAGGAGACTCAAATCAAACAGACACCTGCATGAACCCAAAGTTCTTGCAGACTAACATGCTATCTATGGACCTTGGGAAGTCTTCAGTTTGTAATCCTGTTTTAAAGACTTTTTATTTTATTTCTTTAATTGAGAGAAAGAGACAGAGCGTGAGCATGCACAAGAGCATGAGTGGGGGGAGGGGGCAGAGGCAGAGGGAGAAACAGACTCTTCACTGAGCAGGGAGCCCGAAGCTGATGTGGGGCTCAATCCCAGCAGGACCCTGAGATCATGACCTGAGCCGAAGGCAGATGCTTAACCACTTAACCGACTGAGCCACCCAGGCGCCCCTTTAATCCCCTTTTAAAAGTCTCTCTTTTTCACAAGTTTTAGTCTTTCCATCAGACGTGAGCTCCCCATGATGGTCAAATATAGAAACATATATACTCATGGGGAATCTGCTATTGTTTTTAGGGATAAAACAGAAAGGGGAGGGGAAGAAAAGGGACTTAGAGCTTCAGGTCAATCAGCACAAAAAACTGTTATTGGCCGATGAGTCTGAAATGTAAGATAAGCTGCCATTTACATACATCCATTTAAGAATTTTAAGACCAGGCCCACAGATATTCAGATAACAAGATCATAAAAACTTGTAAGAGTAAATATCACTTTCAAATGAACTCTAAAGACCCAGGACCTCCACATCGTAACTGAAAAGAGGAATCCAAAAGATGTATGCCTCTGGAGACAGACAGTATTGCTTACCTTCTCATGATCCTGTGGGGTAACTTGGTTCTGGCCAGGACTAAAGCCCCCAGGCTGACCTCCACCCTGAATGCTCGCTCCTTGCATGCCTGTTCCCTGCATGACTGGGACCTATGTGCACAGAGAGGAGGAGGAGAGTTTTCAGAACTTCTCATATAGTATTCAGAATCCAGTAACAGCAATGTGAAAGATATGATCTCATTATGGATATGAGTAAAAAAAAAAGCAAATTAATGACTCTGAAGATCATTTCCTACTGTTAGCAATGGCAGGAGGCAGGGTTTAGCAAGAGATCAACTAGCGAGTTAGACACATTTGCTTACGGCAGCTCTAGCATCATCAACAAATATCACACAGTACCATCAAATCAAGCAAAATCCAGCCGCATAAGCACAGAGAAAACTGAGAACATCCTAGAAACTAGTGCTCAGTGGAAACAGAAATGAAAGCCAGCAGATTCTAGAGATAATGTATGCTGGTCCACTGGGGAAGCTTCATTCACAGAGATACCGCCTACCTCTAGTTCAATAAGACATAGGCAGTTCGCCCCAAAGGGCCCTATCCCACAAGTAAGGCAGAGACGATCATTATGGCAGAGGCAGAAAGGAGATGGGAAGGCCTCTGGGAAAAAGACTGCTATTAGCTCAACATTTGCTTTTTATAACTTTCCAGAGAGAATATGCAGCAGATGCTTTCTGCTAGATACAGACCAAGAAATGACTCAAGTTAAAAGAACAAAATGCAGTTATATCATACTTATTTAAGATCTTCAGTGAGTTCGATCTTTGGGAAGACCACCAGAACCCAAAGAAAAGGCCTCAGAGCACCAAGAATAACTGTTAAAGGTCCCTATGTTGTTATTATGTTCACACTCAGGCATTCACCCAGTTTAGGTACTCTTATGAAACACAAACTGTGAACAAACTTAGTTACCTGCTTCCCCAGTAGATCAGAAGCAGCAAAGCACAAAACGAAATGTGGATACACTGTTAGGAGCAGATACCATGACAGCAATGTGAAGAGCCAGGCGACAGCCTGATGGTGAAGGAGACCAGAAACCAAACAGGAGGTAACTGTACTTTCTATTATAGCACA